ATCTTTCCTTGTATAGATGTCTTATTTTTCAATATCATTTGAAAGCAAATTGGGGACATCTAAAAATTTTAGCTGTGTATATTTCACCTACAGAAGGCTATTCAGGTCTCCCAAAGAGGAATCGAAAGAGCTATGCTTGGAATATCATGCTTCACTCAATGAGAGAAAGAATCCAGAGTTCCGACCTCCATCGACGATCGAGAATTGGAGGTGCTGTCTCCTTTGCCAAGGTGTTGAAAATCAGATGGGCTGGACACAAAATGTGATTTGGAGATGACCGTTGGACTAGAGCCATTACTGACTGGATTCCATGGGACATCAAAAGATCACATGGCCGCTTACGTACGAAATGGTCAGACTTATTCGTCAAGACCCTGAACGACCGGTTTGAGGCTCTTTGTGTTCCTGGAGCACGCAGATGCTATTGAGCTACACTAGCACACGATGGGGACTAATGGAGACATTACTGGTGCCCGTTCAAGCAACTCGATGAGTAACGAGATGTCAAGTGATCAAGTAATATTTTACGTTACATACCATCTAAGAGCATTAGTGGTTCTCTTATCATGCCATCAAACGTGATCAAACTCCAAATTTGTATTATCTCCAATGAAATCCTATTCAGCTCCAATAAAACTCCATTTCATTGTCACCAAAGTAACTCCACTGTCTTTAAGAATATTTTCCCCCTTCTGCCCCGCCCTCTATTCAATCAAATTCACAATTCATATATTTTCACTTCCTATTAGTCTGAAATAGTTGTGTTCTTTTGTTTGATATTCATTGCACTTGTCCCCAGTGTTGATAAGATGATTCTTGCAATGTCTTCATTTTGGATTTGTTTCATTTCTTTCTGCAGTCCTTAATTCTGTATAGCTGTTTACACACTCAGTTTCTTCTCTTCATGTGGATGTCCATATTAATGTCCTCTCTTAAGAGAGGACATTCCAATTTCCAAGGTACAATGGACTTGGCCAATATCAAGCTCTTGATGGGCAAGCTAACATATACAGAGCCATACCTTCTTTGTCCAGCTCGCAAACCCCAAGAGAGGGGATTATGTTCCTCTTCCATAATGATTTCCTAGCTAAAGCTGGGCAACCACGGACAACCCCAATGTCTAAGTATCAATTCAAACTAATACATTAAACTCTTTCTTCCCTGTTTTGCCTTTTCCTATGAAACTCCAAATAAAAGCATGCACGTAAACCTCCCTTCCTGTTTGCTGCTTCCTGACCACCTGCTACCTTTCCCCTGTGTTCCTGATTGATGTGCTCTCACCCCTTCTGTGTCTAAGACTTGTGACGATAATCAATGTGTCTTATTATTATTATATTATTATCATTATTATTATTTGTATTTCTGGGCTACACTCAGCAATATTCAGGGATTACATCTGGCTTTGCACTCAGGAATTACTCTTGGTAGTGCTTGTGAGACCATATGGGATGCCAGGGATTGAACCTGGATTGGCTGCATGCAGAGCAAATGCCCTAACTTCTGTACTATTGTTTTGGCCCCTGTGCTTTATTCTTAACTTTTCTGTGTCTTCTCATAATCTCATACGTCATTTCATTTTCATCAAGTATCCTTTTCCTTAAAATATCTCTTAAATATTTAACTATAAGGATAGCACTGTAGCACTTCCTCCCATTGTTCATCAATTTGCTCGAATGGGCACCAGTAACGTCTCCATTGTGAGACTTGTTACTGTTTTTGGCATATGGAATACGCCACAGGGAGCTTGCCAGGCTCTGCCGTGCGGGCAGGATACTCTCGGTAGCTTGCTGGACTCTCCGAGAGTGATGGAGGAATCGAACCTAGCTCAGCCGCATACAAGACAAACGCCCTAACCGCTGTGCTATGGCTCCTATTTTCCCCTTTAGTTAACAAAGGTCACAGACTATCTACACAGTTCTGCACATTCCTTTTTTCAGGTACAAGTAATATTGGACATGTATTCCTAGCATTATAAAGTAAATTTTGTTAATTTTTTTACAGCTGCTAGAATTCCCTAATCTATATAATCAACTTAACTGTATACTGTTATGAACAATGTTGCAAGTAATTATGTGCATAATTTATTTTGGATATATGCAGTTACATCTATAGAGTAGGGTTCTGAAAGTGAAGAAAAAGGATAAATTTTGTACCAAAAAGTCAATGCTTTTGAAAGTTTGACAAATATTTCCTAACTCACCATAGGAACTATAATAACATTTTACATTGTTTGAGAAATTTTCCCCCAGGGGGATTTGGAGACGTTACTGGGCCCGCTCGAGCTACTTTTTCTAATTATGTAAAAATGATATTCCAATAGTTTTATTTTAATTTTCATATTACAAATGATTTAAGCACATATTCAGATATTTGTATTTCTTACTGTGGGCTTTGTTTGGGCTAGAGAGATAGCACAGCGGGTAGGGAATTTGCCTTGCACGCGGCTGACCAGTGTTTGATTCCCCCACCCCTCTCGGAGAGCCCGGCAAGCTACCAAGAGTATCCCGCTCGCACTGCAAAGCCTGGCAAGCTACCCATGGTGTATTCAGTAAGCCAAAAACAGTAACAAGTCTCACAATGGAGACGTTACTGGTGCCCACCCGAGCAAATCAACGAACAACGGGAGGACAGTGCTACAGTGCTACCTGTGGGCTTTGTCTTCTTTTTTAATGTTGCTAATTTTCCTAATTTCTAGGAGTTTTATACAGATATAAAGAACGGAATCAACTCTCTAGTACATAACTGGCAGATTTTCATTAAATCTTCAGCTGTATAAGTCTCTGTTGTGTTTTAAAACACAGTCCAAATGGCAGCCCCAAATACTGCATTCAAGCCTACCAAATCTCATGGAATTCCCTTCCAAGTTCCAATGAAAACAGAATGAAATTCCCGCTCTGCTTGAATTCTTTTAAAATTAATCATATTAAAGGTAATTATCCCAGTAGCAACCCTAGATACTACAGTGCTGCAGTAGCACTGTTCTTCCCCATCTGGAGTAGAGAGAGGCAGTCGGTGGAGCCAGGTTGCCTGACTCTGCCACTCACAGCCCTAGAGCAATTTACACAATCTCTGTGCCAAGTTTTCTTTCCTTTTAAATTGGAATAATGCTGCCAATTATCTCAATGCTCTTAATTACCTCCCTGGTTATTCTTAGAATTAAAATAATTAAGACAGAGGAAGTTCTACATATAGTAACAGTAAATGCCCTGTGATATGCTTTATGACTCATAAATTCTGTGTTTAGACTACAACGATTATTCCAAATATCAGGCACTACCTTTCACTAAAAAATAAAGTCCCTAGGCCAGGTAAGCACTGTTTTGTCAACAAATACAAACTCAGTGAACTCAGTGGAGTACTGTTCCTTTCGCTTGGTAAATAAAAATATCAAAATGAAGTGCTACTTGGCTCTGATTAAATTCTTTAAGCCCCATGCATTTAAGTTTCTGTTTTGTCAACTTAGTCTGCATGAAGAGGGAAAGTGCACTCCTTGTCTGGTAGGAAACAAAGATCCAGAAGAGAAGGATCAAGGAATTTTTTATTATTCTACTCCCCCCCACCCCCGCAAAAATAATAAAGGTTCATTTCCCCACTCTCTTCAAATTCCTGTCTCCTATACTCTTTAGTTTTCTCTTTCTTTTTATACATTTTATCATTGATACGTAAAGGCTGGAGCAATAGCACAGGGGTAGGGCGTTTGCCTAGCGTGTAGCTGGCCTGACTGGGCCTGGTTCAATTACTTCGCCCCTCTCGGAAAGCCTGGCAAGCTACCGAGAGTATCGTGCCTGCATGGCAAAGCCTGGCAAGCTACCCGTGATGTCTTCAATATGCCAAACACAGTAACAACAAGTCTCACAATGGAGACATTACTGGGTCCACTCGAGCAAATTGATGCAAAACGGGAGGACAGTGTTACAGTGCTACATAAACTCAAAAATCCAATAAGTCAATACATTTAAGAGATATCCACCACATTGAGTATGCTGAGACAAAGTAAGTGCCTGACTCCAAACTTGGAGGGAAGAATTACTTAAAGTTTATCTCTTTGTTTATCTTTTTAGTTTTTTTTTGTTTGTTTGGAGGCTACACTGGTTGGGCTGAAGACACCTGACTCTGTTTAGGGGTCACTCCTGGCTGTGCTGGGGGAACCAGATATAGTGCGAGGGATAGAACTGGGTCCACCACGTGCAAGGCAAGCACATTACATACTGTACTATTTCTAGGTCTCAGTCTTTCTCTCTAAAAGAACTTGACTCATCTTTCTCTTCAGTGATCTATGTTTATCAAGTGTCTTTAAAGGAATGGAGATAGAATCCTCCAGCTTTTGATAGCTGTGTGTCCCACTGGAATGCATCCTTGCCACAGCTACCACTGGCTCTTAACCTGAGACTTTAAACTCACTGAGTGATGAACCTTGATTTTTTTTTTTTAAAGAAAGAGATTCACTTGAGTAAAGGTTTCCTGGTTTCCTTAAATCTAGTGCTTAGTGGGTAGTGCTAGAGACAAGGGAGTGCCAAGGGAGTCAGCGGAAAAAAGACAAATAACCAGATGATCCTGTTTACATGTGGCATGGGGGGCGGGGGAGCAAGCGAATAGACAGTATCTAGTAATAGAAAATTCCTTGAAATTTGATTACAGAACTGAGGTTACCAAGTGGTGGGCGGTGGAGCTTGTGGGAGTGGAGAGGGAGGGGCAGACTAGCAGTGACATCAGATCAGTGCGGGAGAGTCTCTGACACGTTGGTGCTGGTGGAGATGTAACAATTTCTTTCTCCAAACACTTCAACACGCTATTGCACCCATTACATTGCAGCTACATTAAAAAAAAAAAAAGGAAAGAAAAAAGAAAAGAAGAAGAAAATTAGTGACCTTGACCCTAGGCCGGTAGAGTTAGTTGGGAGCGCAGGCAGGAAGCGCCTTGGCATTTGCACCTGCTCTGGAGGCCAGGAGCCGCGCTGGGGCGTGCTCAGAGGGTGGGGCTTAGAGCCAGCCCACTGCGCCCTGGGGAGTCCCTTGAGTCTGCAAGTGGTGCCGGGAAACCTGAGAGCATGGGGAAGCTGCTGATACTGACCCTGCTGGGGGTCGGCTTGGCCCTAATCGGGGAGAGGTTTGTGGCTTTTAGGTGAGTTGGCATCTTGATGGGTCTCCCCAACTCTTTTTCCTCCCTCCTCTTTTAAATTAATCCCACTGGCGGCCCTGGACTGCTTCGCTCTGGGGCAGAAGGGTGTCTCTTTGGAGCCTCTCTTCCTAGCACCCAGCAAACTTTCTCTTGAGGAATCCTGATCTCAACGTGAGTGGCCTGCTTGCCTTGCCGGAAAAGGGCAGATGGGCATGTGTTTTCTCAAAGTCGTGCTCTTTTTCTCCCAGTTTTGGTCACTTCTTCGGCACCTAAAAGCTAATTCTGCCCGAAGCATGGGGCCCGGGGGAGGGACTTGGCTACCGGCAGGCTGTTTACGACAGACTCTGACAAGCCTAGGGCCAATTAAGCACTGCAGAGGAGTGGTTGCTGATCTCAGCCCAGGAGAGTCAGTCAGCCAGTGGGGAAAGGCGCTGAAAACTGCAGGTAGTAAGGATGCCCCACCGTTTGGGGAGCACCGAGTGGAGATGCCATCTCAGAAAGAGTTCAGTCCTCCGCAATATTGAAGTAGGAAGAAGGAACGTTTGATGATAATTTACGTCCCCGAGTAGATCTAAAGTGTCTGCTTGCCTTGTGTTGTCTTTAGGATGTTTCTTATTTCTTTTCAGAAAAACTGGTCTCCCTAGAGTGTCACATTTGTAATCTGAAGAGGTTGATGCCTTGGGCAGTACTCTCTAGCTCACTTTGAGGGTGTTTATTGCTAGATTCTTTCCCAGTGCACCCAAGTGAGAGAATCATAATTGGAAAGTAGAGCTAAAGCATTTTTTGGCCTGACAGTAAAGATAAGTTTCAGTATTCAGATATCTTCTGAATAGAATTTAATAAAAAAATGTATGATAATCCCCGATGTCTCGAGCAATGTTTCAGTGTGGAAATTAGAATAATATATTGAAAGAATTTGGGCAGTTGTTTAAATTGTGATCAGTTTAATGATGTCATATGCCCGTAATTTAAAAACAATTAACTTAAAGTGAACCATATGTAGTGTAACTGTTGAATTTTGAATTTGAATTTTGGGGAAACAGTTTGGGGAAATGGATCAAAAGGCAAGATGGATTAATGGTAGATAGTGACTAATGGGTCTAAATAGATCTAATAAGCATAGGTCTGATAGGCAAAACTTTAGCCAACTAAATGCTGTTGGTTGTACTTTTAAATTGCTGTTCATTAAATACTGATCAGTTACTCATACAATGAAATAGTTTTCATTTATTTGGGGAGCAAAGTGTTTATGTTTAGCTATGTTTTGTCTTTTCACAGTAACTGGATGAAGTTAGCTGATGCAAGTACATTACCCACAACATTTTCACATTGTATATATAAATGTACATGCAAGGAGATGCCTGCTTGATTCAAATACCATTATTTTGTTACATACATTGGTAGGAAGTTTATTGTTATAAGACAATTAAAGGCCTTAGACATGGATTTGGGGTCTTGTACATTGACACCTCTCCCTTCATGTTTTTATCTTCCACAGAAAAAGAGCTCTTGCAGATCGAGAAGTGGTGTCAATAGAACCCCAGAGCTGCCATCTTGTCGAGGGGCTTGGTATGTATGTGATAGTCCTGTGAAACACCAGTATATTTCTTCACTTGACTGAGCTGACCGACTGTTTTTAATTCCTGCTACTCTTTAAACTCAACTCCTGTGCCCTCTACCCTATTATCACTTTCGTATGTGTCAAAATCAAAGACATTCAACTCCCCATTGGCTGGCCCTCATTGATCTCCATTCCTTGTCCCTTCTGTGAATTTCTGTTCTCTTCTCTACTGTCTTCAGTTGTCTGTTATTACTTCTTTTCTATTTGCTTCCCTTTCCTTGATGACATTTCTGACTTCAAGGGTTGCTTTCTTTCATATTTTATCTGTAAGTGTTGAGAGGAATTTGACTTAGCCCTAGCCTTCAAGAACCTCAAGTCTTGAGACCAGGGCGATAGTATAGCAGGTAGGGTGCTTATCTTCCATGAAACCAACTGGAGTTTGATCTTGCTCGATTTGCTCGAGCTCGAGCGGGCCCAGTAACGTCTCCATTGGAGACTTTGTTGTTACTGTGTCTGGCATATCGAATACTCTCGGTAGCTTGCCGGGCTCTCCGAGAGGGGCGGAGGAATCGAACTCGGGTCGGCCATGTTGGCCGCTTGTAAGGCGAACGCCCTACCGCTGTGCTATCACTCCAGCCCGGAGTTTGATCTTAATCACTCCATATAGTCTCCTGAACTCTCCAGGAATGATCCCTGAATGCAGAGCTAGGAGTAATCCCTAAACACTGCCAAGTGTGGCCCAAGCTCTCCCTGCCCATCTCCCCTGAAAAAAACCTTAAGTGTACTGAGATGTCTTTATGGAAAGCTAACTGAAGTGTTGGGAAGATTGCTTAAAAGACTAGTGCAGAAGTCCTGTTTAATTTGCAGTACCATATGATCCCATGAGCACCAGGGAGGGAACTCCAAGCAACACACTGGAAGTAGCCCCTAGAACTCTCAGATGTGACCCGCAAACAAAAAAAAAAAACATACAAACAACAAAATTGAAAATCCAGGACCATATCTCCAACCTTTCAAATCACAGTTCTGCTTTTCAGTCTGAAATCTACTTCCTATTTTTTCATTTCCTCCCCCCCACAATAAGTTCTTCTATATTTCTTCTATCTGCAGAACTACCATTCTCCGAGGGATTCTGTTCTAAATGCAAGAACAGCAGAGTTCTTCTTGTTCCTCCTTGTTCCGTACCAGGCACATTGATATGAGCTTTCTCTGTGCCCTCATCCCAAGCTGATTGCACTCACAGCCAGAACTACTCCAGAGTCCAAGCGTCCAGTTCTCTTTGATACTGCCACGAGAAACACCGCCCCCCCCCCCATCAGCTAGGTTCTATTCACCATCCTGGCACGCGTTCTTTTTTTTCTTCTCACTTCTGCTCAAGACATTTTCCTTCTCTGATTCTTTCATTTCTACTTGCTGAAATCAACCACAAATTCCTCTCTTACCTCTGAACTCTCACAACACTCTGAAATTCAGATTCCCTTAATGACACTTTCTCATGTTTTATTTTATAGCTGGCAGGGATCTTTCTTTTTCTCACTATCAGATTATAAGCTTCCTAGTATCAAGGACTGACTTATTTATCAGTATGTGACAAGGTGACAAGACAGTCTATTGTGATAGAGTTGGTACGTTATTTTAATTTGTATAAAAAATAAGTGAATTCTTTGTATATAAAATCAGATATAATATGCACAGACATAAAAATGTACATGTTTTATATATTTCTGATATACATATGCATATAATCAGAAAGAATATATGCTCCCTTTTTATTTTGACTATTTTTATCATCTCAGTTTCTGGAAGTTGTAACCTGACTTTCTGTTCCCTAAACCTAGAGGAGAATTTTACTACAGGCTAAAAAGGAGAAGGAACTGAAGACATACTCCTCAAAAACCTGAACTTCTTCAAAGGATTCTGAGGCAGAAAGGATAAGATTATGTGGATTGAAAAATAAAAAAAAATAAATCGCTGGCACTTTTGTCCCAATACCTCACAGAATTCTGGGTGAAGAGTAAAAATTTGGAAGGAATGATCCCAAGATAGTGGCAAATTGTCCAAAATAATGAAATCACTTGGACTTGGAAATGAGTAATTCATTGGCAACACTGGAGAATAAAGCCAGATGAACTTCCTCCCCAAATATTCTCCCCAATTTTTGTACCTTCCACTTGCTATTTTTTTATAGTTTTGACACAGAGATTCTGCAATGACTTAGACTGAATTTCCTAACACAATGTAGGCTCAAGGTTGGATCTGGTTTAATTTTTTTAAAAAATAAAATGTGATACCGATGTGGTGACTGGTTTGTGTAGGAATGTTAGTATTCCCTATATATCTCTTTATAAAAATTAAAAACCTTCTGAGTTATTTTGAGGAGAATTTAGTCTGGATGATAGCTAAAGTCTGGTCCCATTCTGAAATTATATGAATTATATATTTGAGAAACTGAAACTAGAGCAATATTATTAGACATAAATCAACATTGTGGTTATTCAATATTTTTAAATAATTATGTGTTTATAATCTTATTGTGTGCGAAGGGAAAAATGTAATGTTACTTATTATGACATATTTACTTATGATACTATTTATATTTCCATGACTGTTGGCATATTTGTAGTCTATATTGTCGAACTGAACAAGTTAGAATGATCATGAGCACTCACCAATTTAACAGTAGTAATGATATATTTCTTGAAATAACAATGCTGCCTTTTCAAAGGCTTAGTGTTTCTCTGCATTTTGCTGAATCCCTTATTCTACATCATCCTTTTAATCAACCAGTAATGTGTTGCTATCTTTACAGATTAGGAAACTGACAAATGAAATAAGTTACTTGCCCAATAACTAAACAGTGAAGAGGACTCAGGGAAGGCCATTCTGGAAATTTTTACTCCCATAGGTGCCACTGTTACTAATATGCGCTGGGTCTATCATGCAGGTTTTGTCTCTGGAAGGGGAAGGGAGGGGAGGTACAGAGGCACAAGAATTTTGTGTAAGCAACATGGTTCATTTTCAAATCTAAGTGCAAAGTAGTAACTTTCCCTTTGCGTTGATAAAGTATAAGCACAACTCTTGTGAACATGCCCACTCTGTTAATGTAAGTCAATCTACGCTGTCAGAGAATGGTGAAATGATCCTTGGAGAGAGAAAAGGAGCCAAGCAAGAAAACAGATGATACAGGATAACTTTTCTCTAGAAAAGAACAATCACCAGCAGATTAACTTCAAGATTAAGTTCAAGAGGGGGATGGATCAATAGTACAGCGAGTAGGGCATTTGCCTTGTATGCGGCCGACCTGGGTTCAATTCCCAGCATGCCATATGGTCCCCTGAGCACTGCCAGGAGTAATTCCTGAGTGAAAGCCTGGAGTAACCCCTGTGCATTGCCAGGTGTGACCCAAAAAGCAAAAGCAAGATTAAGTTCAAGAAACTAAACAGTTTATCCAGTCAACTAGTTTTCACTGGGGTCTAAACAGCTAAAAGGGAAGTATAATATTGGTTGTAAGGATTTAGTAGTGAAACAAAACTTTGTTTTTGTTCCCAGTAAATTTAGTATTTAATAAAAAAAATTGGCAAGTGAGCATAGAATTGCTATCAGTTGTGAAAAATGTCATGTGGAAGTAATCACAGGTACCCATATTAGTACATAAAATGGATGCTGGAATCAAAAGGGGTTGGGAATGTTGAGGTTATGTTTTAAGTTTATTAGATCCCAACTGGCGAGATAGTACAAGGGTGACTTGTGGCAGGTACCAAAGATGGTCTTCTGAGTACTGCCAGGTGTCACTCCTCAGCACAGATGTAGGAGTAGCCTCTGAGCACTACTGGCTCAACCTCAAAATAAAATAAATAAATAAATACATACATACATACATACATACATACATAAATGTGCTAGATCCCAAACTCATCTCAACCCTTGAATCTGTTCCATTGCCTATATTTTGATTTTTTTTTTAACGAAGCCACCTTTATTCCAAAAGTAGGACTCCAAAGCAGTAATCCTGGAGTCATCTGTCATGTTTTTCTTTTCCTTACTTCCCCAAATCTAGTTGATCACCAACCATTCCAGCTTGAGAATTCCTTCTTGTATTTATGCAATGGCTTCCCAATAGTTCAGTGTTGCTCCTCTGTAACCATTCTCAATATTGCTAGTAGTCATCTTTTTCCTTGACAATAGAGACCTCATAATTCCATGCTCAAAACTTTACAGAGATCCCTGAATCTTGTGATATGAGTATTAACATAGATTTGGAGTCCTCTGCATTTTGGTGTAGTTTCAATTCTTGTGGCTCCTGTTCTCACTCCAGCTATGATGCAATAATTCTGGTGGTAATTCCTGAAATGTGCCAAACTCATCCATCTACTTACATGCTATCCACGTTATTCCTTTCTTGGAAACTCACACCTTTCCCATCCCATTTTTAATTTCACTTTAATTTCACTGTGAGAGTCACTTAGAAACATGTTGTAATTATTGTATCTCTGTAACACACCACTCTCAAATCTAATGACTTTAAATGGAAATTATTTTGTTCATAAATCTGCAATTCTTATAAGACTCTGGTGATAGCTTATCTCTGCCATTTGCATCCATAGAGTGAATGAAAGACTGAGAACTGAATTTAGTAGAGAATTCTCTTCCATCTATCTCTCTTTGTCTCTCTGTATCTATCTATGTGACTACCTGTCTGTTTCTCCTTTGTATAGTTTAACATTTAGTTTCAGCTTTCCTAAGGTGCAGGAGAGAAGAGGTAGAGATTTAAAGTAAGTGCTACAGGAAGTGATGACTGTGCCGTTACTTGTATGAAACTCAACATGAAACTGTTGAGTTCACTTCATTCTCTTTGTAAAGTTATTACAGTGGCCAAGTTCAAAAAAGAAAAATATCGACCTTACCACTTGATGGGAGAGTTTGAACTTCACATTTTAAGAACATGTTACTATAGTAATATTTATAAAATGGTTTGCCACACTAGATACCTATTATCATCACCTTCAGTCTTGTTTGTTTGGGACATAGTACATGTGAGTTTGTCTCTATACTATGAGCCATGTAAGACTTTTTTTCATCCTGCCTCATTCATAACTTATGTATTACATGCTACTTTTCAAATGGAAAAATTCTCTGTGTATAAGCAACAAAACATAGCAACACCACACCTGAGTGGGCAAGTACCAGAACCAAGCACACACGTGTTTGATTCTCCCTCATGTCAGCAACAACATAAGCAAAGAGGAAAACTAATTAAAAAGGGTGGACTCTAATATATTTTGATTGATATACTTAGAAGAGCAAATGTGCAGACAACAAAAAGAAAACTCAATGATGAGAATGTACAGAGGAATAGCCATGTAATAGGTAAGTAAAAGATTATGATTTACAAGCCAAGAAGACTCAGAGGAAGCCAATCCTGTCATTACCTTGATTTTATATTTTCAGATTTCAGAACTATGATTCATTTTGCTTGTTTTTAGCCAAAAAAGAAAAAGAGAAAAAATATTCAAGCCCAGTTATTGTTGAAACATATTTGACTGAACTCTTTCAAAATTCATTTATATTCAAGAATTTATCTGAAGTCCATTTTCATTATAACAGAGTGCAATTATTAAGTTTCCCTTTATGATATCGATTAACAAGTTAGAAGAAGAGAAATATTGGGCAGAGAGATACTCAAGAGATCTTCACAGTGATGCTTACCAAATGGTATCACTAGACTTCAAAGGGAATAAATCTGGATCTCTCAAAACATACCCTGGAAGTTGTTATTGTTGTTTCGAGGGCCACATCTGGTGGTGTTCAGGTTTTACTTCTTACTCTATACTCAGTGATCACTCCTGGAGGGCCTTAAGGGACCATATGGAGTGCCAGGATTGAACCAATGTAAGTCATGTGAAAGTGCTTTACACACTGTTTTTTTGGACCTATCCCAGAAGATTTAAAGAATAAATGTAGGATATAAATTTATTTTATAGTTATTTGTCTTTTCTGCTAAACTTTGAGTCTGTAAAGGGAATTTGGTATTTAGGGGGTCCGATTCAGGAAATATTGTTGATAAGCATGCCTGTGGGTTTCTTGAAATTTAATATAATTTTCCAAGTAAATAATTGAAAAAGTCCATGTATTTTCCCAAAGAAGTTCAAAGTTTTCACTAAGAGATTTATTTTTTTAAGTCTTCATAGAAGTATTCTTCTGATCCTTCATTTCTCTTGCAGAAACTGGCTCTGAAGATATTGATATACTTCCTAGTGGGTTGGCTTTTATCTCCACTGTAAGTATGCCCTTTGGATGCTCCTGTCAATAGCTATATAGATAGTACATTAATGTTGTCTACTAGAGCTGCCAGATGGCCCCCTACACTCTTCTCCCATCTGCGGGTAAACCAGTCAACTAAAAGGCCAAAACAAGATTCCTTAGAATCTCAAAACACCACATGAAAATGCCCAGGCTTGCCTGCCCCATAGCGGGTAACACCCTGTGGACTTTGCATGCTCAGTAGGATCTCAATAAATATATATTGATTTCCATTCAATTCCTGCCCAAATTGTGAGATATTTTCTGTTCCTCTCTATCTTTGCCCCAGTTGACTGAGTCTAATTTTCTGGTAGTCACCTTCTCAAAAACTAGTCTTCCTCTTTCTCTGTTACCATGGTATTTGTGCTTGGTAAATATTCGTGGATCAAAATTTAACTGTGTTATTCAGTTCAAAATGCGAGCATTGTTTTTTCTGGCCTGGAATCCCTGCCATTCTGCATCTTTCACAGAGCCATAGAGAATCTTATTCCAGCATCACCCTCAAGGCTTTGGAATGATTGAAGAGCTATTGGAGGGATTAAATTCCAACAAATAAAAATATATAAGTTAGTAAATGTTAAATTTATATTTGATAAATTAATTTCAGTTTGGAATGGGTTCTAAGATTATGAACACTTAGACGTGACTATATTTTCACTTAAATTCTGCTTGCTGAAGCTACATGTTTAATAATAAATTTTGAACAAGTATGATTTTTTGGGGGGTCACACCCAGCGATGCACAGCGGTTACTCCTGGCTCTGCACTCAGGAGTTATTCCTAGCAGTGCTCAGGGGACCAAATGGGGTGCTGGGAATCAAACCTGGGTTTGCCATGTTCAAGGCAAATGCCCTATCTACTGTGCTATTGCTCTAGCCCGTGATGATGTTTTTAAACTAGATTTTTTTTACTAAAAAGAGGGACACATAATAATACTTTATGGGCCAAATTTCTAAATTCTTAAGTATGTACATTGTAGTCAAAATTTCCCTTCTATTTCAAATTTTTAATACAGGGTGATGGTATGAGTGAGAGTGCATGAGAGAGAGGGATATTATTTACTTAGTTTTCTTCCAGAAATAAACCTAAACTGAGCTGTCTGTTTTGTTGTTGTTGACTTAAGCTTTCTAATGTCAATTTATATTTTTCAGTGTTTTGTCAAGTAGACTGATAAAAATGATAATTCTATAGCTAGAAGATTTCTTTGCTGTTAAATAATGGATGATGTCCCAATTTTATGCTTCTTTCATATTTTCACTGGTGTTACAGGAACTGAATTATTCCTATACAAAAAGTAGATCTTTTCAATACAAATAATTCCATGAGAAATGTTAATATGAAGCTTTAATTAATGGAGCTCTTTTTGTAAACTGAAAAAAACCATTCAGACACAGAAGTAAAAGATGATGCTCTTTGCTTATTTTAAATCTATCTGCATTGTCATAGATTAAATTTCTTGTTCTCCGTGTTTTCTTCTATTGCCCTTTCATGTCAGCTTAGAACATGTTTGGACACGCTGCTGATTTAGGGAATGATACTGCACAATATATATTTTTAGCTTATTTCAAGGTGCCAGCAGCTGTTTGCTTTCTTATCCTAGAATCTGGCTCTCTTGTCTATAAGATTACTCTCATCTTCAAGTATTTCTAGCTAACACCAGTTCTATGTGAAATTTCACTGTTGCAACTTTTTTATTCCTCGAGAAGACCTTTCAGTCTCTTCACTAATAGTTTCTTTATGGAGGAGCTTTCTCTTCTATGGTTCCTCATGTTTCTTATGTCATGGCTCTTACACACTACACTGTATTTGATTGCTTAGTGCTTCATCCTTGGATTTCAAGATTCTTGAAGTCAGGATTTTGGAGGGGTCATTGCATGCTCAGCATTTAACATTCTATCTGAAATAACATGTGTTTGAGTGTTTATTGAATACATGTGCTTGTTAATGAGAGTAGTAGAGGATTTCAGTGCCGACCTAAACATCCCAGTGTTCTGTTCAGGAAAGTAAGGTGCTTACAACTCTTTTAGTAGTCAGTGACATCAAAATATTTTCTTGTTAATAACTTGTCACAAATCCACACCAAAGCCTTAAACCAGGTGGAAAACCAGGCAAAATGAAGCTGATTATCCGGACTGTTTCATTCATCACAATAATTTTTCTAGACCAATGCTGTTAGCAATATCCCACATTTATATCCATTCTAAATAATTTCTCATTTTAGAGCATCCTTTTTCCTACATTAGCTAGCAGTACCCTCATGTACTCACAAGCTGACAAGTTGTAATACTGAACTTTGTGTTGCTTTCCTCAGCAATATTCTCTACTATCAAACCTTCTCTTTTGATGTCACTGAAACAGGCTATACAATTAGAGCTCTGCGTGATTGAGTCAGTTTGCTTCTCTAAGTTTAATGTCCCCTCAAATGAAAAGAGAAGGTGTGGAATTATCTGTCTTTAACTTTTCAACCCATAATACTGCTTAACCATTATTATGCCACTGATCTTAAAAACATAATGCCCGAAAAGCAGGATTAGAGCCTAACTTTTTTTACATAAAGTTTTCCAAATCAAAACTATTATAATTTGTTTGTTACGGGCACAAACAAATCAATAGAATAATACAAAGTAACATACCCTTCCTGATATTGGAAATAATTATTATTCCCTCATTGGTTAAAAATAAGAAATCCTGTAATTTCTAAATATAAGCCCTAAAAAACAGTAAACCAAATAAATATTGAGTTAAGGACAGAAGGTGGATGGGCCTAAAAGGAGAATAGTAGTAAGGGGGCTTGCCTTGCATGTGGCCAATCTGGGTTTAATCTCTGAAACCACATATGGTAACCTGAGCACCTCTGAGAGATCCCTTAGTGCAGATGCATGAGTATGCATTGAACACCATTGTGTGTGGCCAAAACAACAACAACAGCAACAAAGGGAATAGAAGAAGGATGTTATAAGAAAGGGGGAGGCAGAGAAGTAGACTAGAAAAGGAGAATATAAATACATTGCAAATGGAAATGAGGGTACAGGTGAAGGTACAAAATTTTGATATAGTTCTGAATGATGGAGATATGTGAAAATTGGGTAGAATTTTGTAGTTGTTATCGAATAAACAAACTCAAAAGTTTTACACAATAACATATAAAGCAGCCAAGATGTAATATATTCAATAAATTCAATAAATCTATTATTGGTTGATGAAAAACTGATCCTATCAGTACAAAGACCCAGAACTGGGGAGATAGTGCAAAAGACTGGTTATGCTTTTTATATGGGAGCCCTGAGTTAAATCCCTAGCACAACATGGCTCTCCAAATACCTTCTGACAGTAAGCTGGGAGAGCTGCTAACACTGCCAGGCAGATGTAGCCCCCAAATTAACAATTAAGAAGATTCTCGAGAGAATCATAGTGATAATACAGTTTAACTTCCTTGCTTTAAATTTTAGCAAGGAAATTTTATTTTGGCTTTTAGGCCACACCAAGCAATGCTCAGGGGTTACTCTTGGCTCTACATTCAGGAATTCCTCCTGGGAGGGCTTTGGGGTCTGGGAATTAAATTCAAGTTGGCCACATACAAGGCAAGCAACCTACCCACTGTGCTATCACTTTTGACCTTCCTTCCTCATTTTTAAAATGAGGCACAAACAAATCAATAGAATAATACAAAGTAGCATACCCTAGTCTCTTGCATTGTACTTTTCTGGTAAATATCATGCTATATGTATTGATATATTAAACTATATTAAATATTGAGTATAGAGTCTTCTGATATGTCCATTACCATTGCCAGTAACATGGAAGACCTCACTCAGTAATTTCCCAGATCATACATATAATGACAACAGTGATATATAAAATACCTTAGAAATATAAAAGAAATGTAGCCTTTTTAACATTTTAATTGGATTTGGAATTTCAGCTTCCCTCTGAAAAAATTGATTCTCAGAAAACAAAAACAAAAACAATGAAAAACTTGACTCTGATATGTGTACGTGTGCATACTGATTCTTTTTTTTTTCAAAGGGATTAAAATATCCAGGCATGCAAAGCTTTGCTCCAGATGAACCAGGACATATCTTCTTGATAGATCTGAATAAGAAAACCCCCAAAGTGCAAGTACTACAAATCAATGATGGTTTTGACAAAGCATCATTTAATCCACATGGGATCAGTACTTTCATTGACAAAGGTAAAGCCTTAATACCTAATAAAGGGGAAATGAGGGAAATATAAACCACTCATGCCCTAATATCAACATAGACATGGAAAGAGGAAGATTCAGTTTCATTAAAATGATGCATGTTTATAATATAATAAATATGTCTCAAAACATTTTTACACATTGCATTAAAAAGAAAGGGAAACTGAAATATGGCCACTTCCACTTTCTTCTAATATCTTTTCTTCTCATTTGACTATCACAACTTGTTAAATATTGGTTCTGTAAATATAACATAAGTTGTAGGCCTTTTGGAAAACATTGTGTAAGATTAAAAGAATAACTCCAAAGAAAATTATAGATAAACTGTACTTCATTAATTTTTTTTTCGTTTTGGGTCACATCTGAAGATGCTCAGGGGTTGCTCCTGGCTCTGCACTCAGAAATTACTCCTGATGGTGCTTGGGTGCTTGGGGAATCATTTGGGATGCTAGGGGTCGAATCCAGGTTGGCCATGTGCAAGGCAAATGCCCTACCCGCTGTACTACCTCTCTGGTCCCTAAATTTTAAAGCTTCATAAAACCCAGAAAGGAAGTGGAAAAACTCAATGTGAGAAAGTGTGGACAAATCATATATTTGATGCAGTTGGTATCTAAATACAGAAATTATTCTTACAACAAAAAGACAAGCAATTCAATTTTTGAAATAGACAAAGGGTCTCAGTAGACATCTTTTCAAAGAGATATACACATGCCCCAAAGTCCACAGAAATATCCTCAACATTTGAACTCACTAAGGCAGTGCAAATCAAAATCAGAACATGGTCCCACTTCACATTCACTAGGAGAGCTATGAAAAAAGATGACAGTAATAAGCAGTGGCAAGAATGTGGAGAAATTGTAATCTTCACACATATCTAGTAGAAATGGGAAGTTCCTTTTCCAAAATATTAAACATAGTTGCAATGTGATCCAGAAACTCTACTCCTTGTTACATACCAAAGACAAGTGTACAGGTACTGCTGTGTAAGCAACTCTTAGAACTAAACTTAATAATTGTTCTTCAAGGGGATGTTACTCTATGAAGAATGACTGCCCCCACTTCACCTTTATTTACTAACGATAGTACAGCGGATAGGGCGTTCGCCTTACAAGTGGCCAATATGGCCGACCCGAGTTCGATTCCTCTGCCCCTCTCGGAGAGCCTGGCAAGCTACCGAGAGTATTCGATATGCCAGACACAGTAACAACAAAGTCTCCAATGGAGACGTTACTGGGCCCGCTCGAGCAAATCGACGATCAACGGGAGGGCCTTTACCTTTACCTTTACCTTACTTTCTTCTTATCTCATCTCTAGAATATGATCAACAAAAAATGTGACTCATTCAGTGCTGGGTTCCCAGAGTCTAGGACAGTATTTGATGTGTAAAAGTTGCTCTATGAAGCTTTGTTGAATAAATAAATTAAACATGAGGCAGGGAAAACATATATTAATTCTCAATTTTATAAATGAGAAATGGAATTTAAAGAAGCATAGTGAAGTGGAGTTCACTCCTATAATTAGTAAATGGTACTTCCAAAGTACTAGAGGTTCTTGCTTCTAGTCCTATGTCTTTTACAAGGGTAATATTAGAAATCTTGGTTCTAATTAAATAAGTCAAAAGCCATCAGATTTTTTGCCTGACATTTTACTAGATATGATGCTTCTTTGGAAAAGACACAATGAGTGATTAGATTAAACTGGAGCAACTTTATTACATGGGATAATAGTGTGTGAGGTAGGCTTGGTTTTTTGTTTTGGTTTTGAGAGAAAACCAGTTAGTTTACAGGTTAATTCTCAGACATTGAGGCATCCAGGAATTGAGTATGTTAAATAGGAGACTTATGTGTTAACTATTCTCCATAATTATGCACTTTATATATAAGATTTGTGAAAGTGGAGATGGAATCAGTCGAGGACAAAAGCAGTCTGACCATAGAAAACTTATTTGAAAGATTTGGTCCAAGTAGACACCGAAAGAAGCAGCCAGAGAAGCATATATAACGTTTATGCTGTGTCCATCAAGCATGTCTATGTGCAGACTAAAATTCAACCTGGGTTATCTTCCAGACCACACGGCCTGTAACCCAGCTCAGTCAGACCAAAATAAAATTCACCTGTGAGGACTTACTGTCCTCTTTCGATTTGAGCACAAGTGCCTCTGTGCTCCCAAGCCCTCCAGTGTAAATAAGCTCCATAACTCATGCTTGTGGCTTATTTGTCTATGTTCTTGGAAAACCATCAAGGCACACATTCCAATAAGAAAATAAATAGGTGAACATTCCCAAGGGTGTTAGAAATTGGCTGGTCCATTTATCTTGCATTCATATTGATATTCTATGTTCATTAGATTTACTAAATTTTTTTAATGGAATCACCGTGAGATACAATTACAAAGCTTTCATGATTGAGTTTCAGTCATACAATGATTAACACACATCCCTCCACCAGTGTACATTTCTCACCACCAATTTCCCCAGTATCCCCCCCAGACTTACTAAATATTGCTATGGCATCTTTGGGTAAATGACTTGTTTCAGCAGTGCTTAAGTTGCAACGTAGGCAATTCTGAAAGGAAAGAGTTTTTTAGAAAAACTTTATTTGACTTGCACTGACTTTCTTGCACCCTTGTTGAAGGGCCACTCTGAACATCTGTGTTTATATATCATTGTAGTTTTATATCTTCCTGTTAGAGAGGGCGTATGAGTGAGGCTGAAGAGACTATTGCAGAAATGTCTTGGTTGGCTCTACCGCTTGTTAGTAGAACTGCTGACATTGCCTTCTATCTGCTGAAGATCAATTTCTTAATAAAATGAAAATTTTACTTGTTTGATTTTTCTGGGAGTGATAGCACAGTGGTAGGGCGTTTGCCTTGCACATAGCCAGCCTGGCCGATCCTGGTTCGATTCCTCCGCCCCTTTCAGAGAGCCTGGCAAGCTACTGAAAGTATTCAATATGCCAAACACAGTAACAAGAAGTCTCACAATGGAGATGTTACTGGGCCCACTAGAGCAAATCGATGAACAACGGGAGGGCAGTGTTTGTTGTTTTTGTTTGTTTGATTTTTATTTGTCTGATATTTATCTGATTTACTTATATGGTGTGAAGTTCAAATAAAAAATGGATAAGAAAAATCCTTGAAAGTGACTAAGTTCTATGTCAAGTTTAATAATAGTTGCAATAGAAATAAACTGGAAATTTATGCTCCTTCCATCCCCCGCCCCCACTATAGACCATACTGTGTATCTTTATGTTGTGAATCATCCCCACCTGACATCCACTGTGGAAATATTTAAGTTTGAGGAACAGCAACATTCTATCACGCATCTGAAAACCATAAAACATGAACTTCTCCAAAGGTATGAAATTAAGGTATTTTGTGCTTCTATTTATTTTGTACCTCTGCTGTGTGCTTTGTTTTCTTGATTCAAAAGGCTTTTCAAAACTTCTGTTGTGTAGCTTTTTTTTTCTCTAAAGCTTTCTAAAGTTCCCATGGTGGCATTGCCTAGCACCTCACTAGAAATTGCTGCATTAAATATTGAATATCCTTATATCCTCCAACTTTTACAAAGCATTTTAATCCTATAAAGGTGCTCAATTTGCTTCTCAGCTCTAATCCCAGCCTCCTTACCACAGTAACTCAATACCTATCATTGGGCACTCTTTCAACACCTACACCCTTTTCTAGTTGTTCTGGTAGCTTGCATTCTGAGCCACACCCACTGGGTGTTATAACCAACCTCCACACAGACAATTCCTTTGTTTAATCAGAGTTCTTTTTAAAGAAAAAGTTAAAAGAATATGCACGCATGTACTTTAAAATTTTATTTATTAAGCATTGACAATGTGCCATACATTGTGCCAAAATACTTAATTCTCACAATTAAGTATTTAGTAATCAGCCCAAGTAAACTGAGATTTAAAGAAGTATTGGGTTGTGATTGACTGTTATATAATTTATAAGTAGTTGAACTATCCTGTAAAGCTATCCATCTGAATTCAAAGTTGAGCTCAATATTGCAATTATGAATATCCTTCTTACTGTGTTGGGAAAAAGAGTATGGTTTTTAGAAAGTTAAGTTGCCTATGTTAAGGATACAACAAATTTGCCTTTTAGAAAATAAGCTCAATACTTAAAGCCAGGTTCCAAAAGAGTAGCACTTAATTTTTCCTTGGAACAGTAGAATAAGAAAAGAAAAGGAGGGAGGCTCACCTTCTTTGCCCTTTTCTCTTCTTGTTTAACATGATGTAAGAATTTCTCCTCAGTGAATTTGGGCCCAACAAGAGCAGAGAGCAGAAGAAAATAAGAGAAGTGAGGTTATCAAAATCCTCCCATAATGCACTGTGCTGGATCTGAGGCATAGCAGGGACCAAAGTTTTCAAGGTGTGACTGAGAATCTCTCAAGTCTCTTGATCTGTGCCTCAGTTTCCTCACAAATATGGGGATTTTTTTTCATGGGCCTGGACTAGTTGTCTGGTGATTGTGAGTGAGGACCAGATATAATAAAACACCTCATGGGAAGAGTTCCTCATAAAACTCAGCCTTGATTGAAAAGTACAACCAAAATAAATGAATAAATAAAAATAAAAAGGACAGCCTTAAAATGCAGAGCTAGAGTTGAATCACAATGAGATACACAGCTACAAAGTTGTTGAGGATTGGGTTTCTCTCATACAATGTTCCAACACCCATTGCTTCACCAGAAAACACCTTTGTTTTTGACTTAAGGCTTTTAGAACTATGAAACAAGATGCTGTAGTTTTAGGCAGTCCAGTTTATGGTACTCAGTTATTGTAGCAGTAGGATTTTCACAGGGGGAGAAGGTACAGCAAGTGCATTATCATGTTGGCACTGCTAAGTCACTGAAATAATTGGATTGTTCTCCAGCAAACAAGATAGGAGAAGTTTGAAGTTCTCATTTTAGAACAAGAGAAGTTTAACTGTAAGGTTCAGCTTCTGTCAATCAAGTTTTCCTCAAGGGGCTTGAATTCCTGCAGATTTCTGGTTGTAAAATGTCTAAGTCAACTTTGGTGATATTCTGTGCTATGACGCTAACACTACCAGGCAACCAAGACACCTATAACAGATGAGCTGTCAAGCACTGTTAATTTGCAACCATAGGTCAAACTCTATGAGGAATTGGTTTAAGTAACTTAATTTGGAGCAGAGCAGGTAAGGGTAAATTGGTCTAAAGAGGACTTTAGAGGACATGCACACCTTGACAAAGCATCTCAAGGGATAGAACAGAGATGGAAACAAAGTAAATGGGAGTTTAATTTAACCTATACTGTCAGGATTATGTGAGAAAGAAATACTTTAGATGAGCCCCCAAGAGATAATATCCCAGGAGTCAGGATGAAGCTTAGCAGCAAAACTCATGAGTAAATGCATGATACCTGAGTTTAATCACCACACACACACACACACACACACACACACACACACACACACACACACACACCTTTGAACCTTTGAACTTTGTAAAGTCATTATACATCAAAACCTCAAAGTAGCCCTGGATTCATGCAACTTTTTCTTTCTTAAATTTAATCTAAAAAATATTTTGGGTGTACAGAAGGCAGTGGGGAATCATACCAGTGATCTTTGGTCAACCAGATCACTGGTTCAATGCAAGCCCCCATGATGTGGTACTACTCAAGCTCTGTACTGTCAGAGATAATCCAGGCACCGTGAGAGATGCTTGGGGAACTTCTGAGATGCGCTCAGTGATGATTAGGGAACCATCTGGTACTGGGGACTGATTGGCACTTGTGGCTAGATGTGGTACTATTTCTGGACCCCTGAACTATATTTTTAGCATGTTTTCATGGTATATTTTATTTTCTAAAATGAAAATCATTACCTTTTTTGGTTTTAAGATTAAAACTTTTAAAAATAAAAAAAGTAAAACTTGCCTCATTTTGGTAGTATTGAAGAATATAAATTAAGAAGAATAGTACGTAAAACCTCACCTACCTTGAGAAAATATAAAATTTGGGATGACCTGGGCTATAATACAATTACAGAAAATAAAAATCTTAATATCTTTAGAAATTCAATACCACAAAGTTTCATTTTCTCACTCTTGTCCCATCCCCATGTAGGTGATTTATGGACTCCATTTTATGTGGTCCTTCTATAGGTTCCTAGGAGGACTAAACACTATGTGCATAAATTTTGTTGGTTACTGTGGGAGAGTCAGAGAATAAAGGTAGACCATGAACTCTCTCTTAGTCTTCATATAGAAGCCACACATTTCCCTTTAATCCACTGGATAAAGCTGTATGTGAATGGAAAAGTTTAATCTAAACTTATCTATGGTGATAATTAAATCATTATTACCACCATAGATTACCATTGTTAACATTTACAAGAACAGGTATGAAGTTTGAGACTTGTTTTAGTTGGCAATTACTTCAAAAGACATCAGATATAAATTATGTAGCTTATTGCTATATTTATATGATTTTATTGATTTCTGTGGAAGAAAGTAGATACCAAATTGCTAAAGAAAATCAGGACAATTAAAACTAATATACTTGGGAGTCTTTAATTCATACTCTTTCATATTTGCTTTTCAAATTGATGAACATATTGAGGTTTTAAAGGTTTAGTAATTTTGACATCAATAAGGATATTAAAATATTCCATGTATTTTTTTCTCTCTTTCTCACCCTTTCTCTCTCTCATTCTAGTTTAAATGACATAGTAGTTATTGGACCAGAACAATTCTATGTAACCAGAGACCACTATTTTACCAACTTTTTGATGCAAGTTGAAATGTTCTTGGGTCTGCCGTGGACTTCTGTTCTTTACTATACTCCAACAGAGATCAAAGAGGTGGCCAAAGGATTTCTTTCTGCCAATGGTATCACAATCTCATTAGATAAAAAGTAAGTGGCTTTATAATTTTCTGTCTTATATATTTCCTTGATATTTTAGTAGATGGTTTCTAGTACAACATATTATTATTTCCTAAGGATTAAATAGGAGGGATCAGGTATGACCAAGTTTCACACAAAATGTATGATTTTGTGGAGGGTGCTTTGGGTCACATATAGCTGTGCTCAGGCTTACTCCTGGCTCTGCCCACCGGGATTACTCCTGGCAGTACTGGGATACCATATGGGGTACTGGGGGTCAAACCCGGATCCATTGCATGCAAGGCAAATGTCCTACACACTTTCCTTTCACTCTGGCTTCTAAATGTGTGATTTTTAGTAACCATTTGTTTGCTTGAACTCAGGTTCCCACCAATGAGATGAGATGGACTCAAGGTTATATGGCCCTTATTCTAAATAATTGCATGATTCTAGAATTATACTAACTTAAAACATTTTTTAAAATGTGTTCTACCTTTGTCCCATATGAGGCTAGAATGTCTTTACCTGTCTTCAACCTTTTATACTAATTCAATTACTTGAAAGTTCTTATCAAAGAGGAAGGTTCGACTTAGATTTAGCATTTCAATTGTATGTTTCTGATTTTCTTCAGATGACTTCTCCATGAGGAAAAAGTAGTTTATGAGGAATATTTTTAAAGTGTTTTAAAATGGAAATATTTTTAAAAGAGAATTTCCATGAATATTAATATGTAAATTGGAGATGATTAATATAGACAATCCCTGTGGAAAACAATTCTAAGTGTTCTTTCTCTTTATAAAAATGTTTGTTACTAATTTTATGTTTATCTCCAAGTTCTTTTTGAGCACTCATCCTTGGAAATATAGTTTATTGGTCTTCAAAGAGGTCCACTTAGCTTCATTTAGTTTAAAGAATAAATTAGTACTCTAAGTAATGAGACTGATTCTATATGACATCCAGAAACACAAATTTCATTACTTTAGAGTCTTCTCCTCTATTCAATGCATATATGAATCAATTCTAGAATATTAAAAATACTGCTACAGTATATTCCACTATTATGGTTTAAAAAAATATAGACGTTGCACTTTGAACTACTGATAATATTTTTCCCTCATCTCCAGAATAAGAGTTGTCTTATCTCTTATTGCTATCTGTTTAAATGTTTTTTTTTTTAATTAAAAGGTATATATATGTAGCGGATGTATTGGCTCACAACCTTCATGTGTTAAAAAAACACGATAACGGGGATTTAACAGAACTGAAGGTAAATATACATACGCTGTCTTGCCTGCACAATGTGGTCTCTTAGATTAGTTCCAACACTTTATCTAGGAATTGTTTTCTTTAATGAAGGAAAAAAAGATCACTGTTTTAGAAAATGTCAGTGAGACTGTAGTTACACTTCTAAAAAGCTCCATAGCAAAAGACCTTTGAAAATGCCAATTTTAGTAGCAAGGTTTGGTTCAAGTGGTAGAGCACATGTCTCCAGGGGACAGAAGGAACTGGTAGAGAATGGGGGAGGGAAGAAAGTCAAAACAGTGTCACCACTATTTTCTCTTTGTCCACAGGTAGTACACTTGGGCACCTTAGTGGATAATTTAACTGTTGATCCAGACACAGGAGACATTTTGGCAGGATGTCATCCTAATGGCATGAAGCTGCTGCCCTATAACCCTGAGGACCCTCCAGGGTCAGAGGTAAATTTCTAAACTTCTTTGAGCTCACAGGAAAAAGCTATAATAACAATTCATCAAAGAGACTTGGGAGAACTTAGTGGATCTCATTTGATGTTTAAAAATGAATGAATTTGGAAAGAATAATGATTTGGGCAGGATAAAGACTACTAACTCGCTAAGCCATAGGTAATGGCCTTGCAAAGGTTTTATTAACTACTGGGAATAATTGAAAAGTATGAACATGATTATTTGTATTGAGTCCAACTGTCTGTCATATTTCAATCAATATTTACACTGGAAGCAAGCCCTGAATTTAGGCAAAGGGGCACATATGTACAAGAATATCATATCATATCATATCTATCTATCTATCTAACATGAAACTCAAAGGGTATAGATCACTGTAATTTAAAAAAAATTATTTTTATCTCTCCTCTCTCCTTCTCTAGCCCCTTCTCCTTCCCTTTCCTCTTCCCATTGCCCTTTCCCTCCCACCCTCCCTCCCTCCTTCCTTCTTTCCTTTTTTCTTTCCTTCCTTCCTTCTTCCACACCAGCTCAGGGCTTATTCTTGGCATCACGCTTGCCAGGTCTTGGGGGACCACATGGGGTACAGGGTGCAGGGATCAAACCAGATGGGCCACATGCAAGGCAAGCATTCTGCCCAATGAATCCAGACCCTGTATTTTCTAATGGTATGGTGGTGTTCAATAAATCTTATTTTTAATATGCTATTTGTGTTTTTGAAAATACCTCTTTTCAGTAAGAAAAAGCATTGAAATTTGGGGGGGGTGGAGTGAAACCATCACTCAGTTGATGCTCAGGGTTTCTGAAGTGCTGGAGATCAAACCCAGGACTATAGTGAACTGAGCTAACACTCTAGCACTTCAAGCTATTTCCCACCAAGCCGTTGAATTTTGTATTGCATTAAAAGTAGCATGAGGCATTGTGTTTTCTATGGCAATGAATTTAAGAATTAAAATATAAATAAAATTCTCAGAATATACATGTTCAGGGAATTATATATAAAATTCTAGTGGCCAAGAGAAAGTGAAAAGAATTGGAGTGCATGATTTGCATGTAGTAACCTTGAGTTCAATTTTTGTAGTAATGATTTCCTTAGCATCCATGGGAGTAACCCCTGAGTACTGCGCTGGGAAGTAGTCACTTGTACTCCCCCACAATGCTATGTGTGGCCTCTAAATTAACCAAACAAACGGACATATATTTTAACACTCATAAATTGCCAGAGTGTGTTCTAATTCTTAAGCTATATCAGAAGAGCACACATTCCTTTTTGCATCAGCAGCTCTTATGAAGGAGGGTAGACAACAAATAATAGATACATGAAGTAAGTTAATAAAAATCAAGGTAGGCTTCATTGAGAAGGTAAGACATAAGATGATTTAAAAAGCCAAAAATAATTGAAGCAGTTTCTAAGAACTTGTCTACCAAATAGAGCTTAAGGGTCAGTGAGACATGGTGAGTATGCCCGGGCTGGTGAGCTGTAGGGGAGGTTAGATCCTGAGACAATGATGAAGGGAAATGAGCACTAGGGTGGAGAATCTGGTGTTAGAATGCTGTATGCATAAAACCTACCATTGACAATAATGTAACATTCACTGTCACTGTCACTGCCATCCCGTTGATCATCGAATTACTGGAGCAGGTGCCAGTAGTGACTCTATTCCTCCCAGCCCTGAGATTTTAGCAACTTCTTCTTACTCCTCTTTTCCCAACAATTGGAGGCTCTTTCAGGGTCAGGGGAATGAGACATTGTAACATTATAATTGTAACATTATAAACCATATTGCCTAAAATAAAAAATTAAAACAAAACAAAAGCATTAGAATTTAGGTTTGGGTAGCTGAGATATTGACATTCAAAGTCCAGTCTATAAAATTGCTCCAAAGAGTAAATTAGAACTTACATAGTTATTTTTGTTTTCAATACTGAGCTTTTTTCCTCTTAAAGAGATTAAAATTTTCTCTCATTAACATGAAAAAGAAGTCAGAACTTCTTTTACAAACAGAAAAAAAATCACCAAAATATAAAAAAAAAATTAGCCTGAGCCTAAAACCTGAAAAAAATTGTCACCCTGAGTTAGCAGGCAACCCTTTCCTTAGATATGTGTCCCCTCAAAGTTACTGTCACTGTCCTCCCATTGTTCATCAAGTTGCTTGAGCGGACCCAGTAATGTCTCCATTGTGACACTTGTTACTGTGTTTTGCATATCAAATACATCAGGGATAGCTTGCCAGGCTTTGCCATGGGGGTGCAATACTCTTGGTAGCTTGCCAGGCTCTCTGAGAGGGGCGAAGAAATAGAACCTGGGTAGGCTGGTTGGCCGCGTGCAAGGCAAATGCCCTACCCGCTGTGCTATCGCGCCAGCCCTCAAAGTCATAGTTATAAGTTATATCTATCTTTGTTTTAACAGAATAAAAGTACAAACTACAAGATGGTTTTAAAATGATTTAGGATCTTTTTTCTATCTATAATTTAGAGCTTATGCTATTATTAGTAATAGTAGTAATAGTAATAGTTTGGTGGGCCGCAACTAGTGATGCTCAGGGCTTAATTCTGGCTCTGAGCTCAGGCATCACTACTGGTAGGGCTCAGGCGTCCATATGAAGTGCTGGGGATTAATCCCAGGTTCACTATGTGCAAGGCACTTTATCTATATCTCTAGTTCCTCTATTTTCAAGTTTAATTGTTTTTTATTTTAGAATTTCTTTTTTTATGATAACAGATAACTTTTACTTCTAGATGAGGCAAATATTTTCTTCATGAGGTTCAAGCTTGATTATTTTTGTAAAACATATCTAAGAAGAAGGTATAGGATCTAACTTAAGACTAAAAACAACAAATAACAAAAACCACAAAATAAAATAGTACTCAAGATGATGTCAGTACAGACTCATGACTTAGGAATATCTAACTGGTTTTTTTACATTCTTTTTCTGTCTAACTGGTTTTCTTTCATTCCTTTTCTGTTCTGTTTGAGTAAACTCCACGCAGATTGTTTGGAAACCTGACTGTGTAAATATTTACTGATTAGCAAAGTAAAGTGTGCTAATCTTGGGGAATCAATAACAGTACTAGGCAGTGAGTGAAGTGTCTTACTGAATTCCAAAGTACAGGGTTCTTTTGTTGATTTTTTGTTGATCTGAGGGTTGGAGGTTGGTTATGGGGCTGCAGGAGGTTCCAAATGTAATAAATGGGTTGGTTAACTAATAGAGTGTTGTTTCATTATTTTTTACATATATTTATTTAATTTTTTATTGTAGAAGAAAGCCACGATGGCTGCTGCAATTCTATAATTAAAATTGAGTAGAAACTAAACTCCAATATTAATCCATAAGTATAAAACAAATCAATGTGAAAATTGTTATATCTGATCACAGGGTTGTTAAGCCCTTGTCTAAGAATTTATATGGCTGTTTGTTGGTCTACAAGGTGTTGTGGGGCTGCCATACAGTTGGTCAGTCCGGTAACTTCAGGACCTACGGTGTGGGTCAATGAGTTTACATGGTGGTGGCTGTGGGAGGTGGGCAGGGCTGAGGGTGGTTTCCCACCCTGACTCCAAAAAACACCCGAGTTCTCAACCTGGGTACCAGGTCCCTAAAATTATATGCAGAATGGCATATTTGTAAAGAGTTGAGCCCTTGGCATGGCTGCAGTGGTGGGGTGTGGGTTCAGTTGTTGGAGTTTTGGATGGGCAGGTGTGCAGCCTGCCTGCCTCCCGAGGGCACAGAGTTTTCAGTTGCAGGGACCAGCGATTCCATAAATTTTAGCTGCTAGATGTGCATCTCTTGGGAGATTTTTGTCAGGAATCAATAGAGCAGAGTCTGTGTGAAGATCATTTTGGTGGCACTATGGAAGGTGGGTCTTATTAATTTTGGGGCCACTGCCAGCAATGCTCAGGGCTTACTCCTGGTTCTGTGCCCAGGAAGCACTTTCTGCCAGGGTTCTGGGTTCCCTATGTGATACCAGGAATGGAACCTGGTTTGGATACACTCAAGGCAAGTATCCTACCCACTGTACTTTCTTTCTAGACTTCATTTCTTCTTTTCTTCTTTTGTTTCCCCTGAGTGCTATAGGCTCAGACAAAGGCAAAAACCCTTTTCACAGAAGAATGAACAGGTTTGCTTGTTAGTGAGCTAAGTGAATCCATCCATTATTACCTTTTTCTAGAGGAGATGCCTGAAGTAGCAAAACTGTATAAACTATCTATTGAAGAATTTGGCTGATTTCAGATAGTGCATCCAGGGCATTACCGATTTTGGCAGAAGATTGAAATTTTTGAAGTGTAGAAAACCTATGGATTTTAGCGTTTTGATTTCTGAGAAATATATTAAGGTATTTGGGGAGGTAGTCATCATTGACAGTTTTTTGGTTATAGAGTCTAGTAATGAATGATCTTCTCTTTACAGGTACTTCGCATCCAGAATGTTTTGTCTCAGCATCCCCGGATCAGCACTGTGTATGCCAACAATGGCTCTGTGCTTCAAGGCAGCACTGTGGCATCTGTGTACCAAAAGAAACTTCTTGTAGGCACCATATTTCACAAAACTCTTTACTGTGAGCTCTAGATATTCTCTAGGTGTTCTAAAACTCTACATGTTTGATAAAAGTAAATCCTCAATTTTATATGTGGAATTGTAAGTAAATAACAAACATCAACAAGAGAGTGTCAAGTTAATAACTGACTAGCAATAAGCCCAACCTCTTATTTTTCTGTAGAACCCAAACATTCTTTCTATAAGTTGTGTGGCTTATGACAAGTGTGGTGTCCACCTCACCTGATGTTAGCAGATCTGTCAAAAGCACATCTGACTACTCTGATATTTTGTTTAAGTCTTCTGAACTGCAGACTTAGAGAAAAGATTCTGATTAAATTTTTACAGTTCCCTTTATCTTCTTCCAACTAAGCTAGGCAGGAAACAAAATATATATAACATCCAAAAATAAATATCCATGCATATATAGAATTCTGAGGTAAATTTAAAATTTCATTAAATGACTAGATGTTCTGAATATAAGGAAATACTAAACTTTTGATAAGATGAACTAAAATCATATGAAGGTTAAATTTAATCAACAAATCCAAAGTACAGTAGGATATTTAAAGTTTTAAAAATGTAATCACCGTGAAATTACATAGTTATTCATGACTAGATTTCAGGCATACAGTGTTTCAACATGCATCCCTTAACTAGTGTTCACTTCCCGCCAACAATGTCCTCCCCTACCCCTAACTTCATCCCACTCACCAGCCTGCCTCTTTGAGAGGCAATTTTTAAATAAAATAAGTTTTTGCACTGTGTGGTTTATTGTACTGTTGCTGATAGGGTTTCATACATAACATTATCACTTTTAATACTACCTCCTCCTTCCTCCCAGTTGAATGCTTCCTTCTACCATAGACATTGCCTCTTCCTTGTCCTAGCCCTCCAACCCCTCAAGTGACAAGTTTTCTATGAAATACCAGTTCTCGTGTTCTTTGTTTACATTGTTTTTGGTATTCTATTGTTTCACCATTATGTTTCTTTATATTCCACATATGAGAGATAACATTCTGTGTTGGTGTCTATTTCTCTGACTAACGACCTAAATGATACATTTCATGTCCCTTTATGTAAGCATAAAACTACATAAACTTATTTGAATTTTACAGGGACAATTTCTATTTTGGTAATATGGAATTATTAATTCTAGAGTAAATTGTTTAATAAAAATAATAAAACATAGATATAGATAAAATATATTTTAACAAAATATATTTTAAAGGATTGTATAGCTTCAAGATAATATGGAATATCTACATCATAACAAATGGAAGGAGAAATTCAGAGTAGAATTAAAATCAGTTTTCACCTGAAAGGGTAATATTCTGAAATAGTTGAACTTTGAATATTTTGAACTCATAGATTGTGGGGAACAGAAGTCAAATCATACTTCAACCCCTAGTTGATTAAAATGAAACATACATATATTCCAAAAGAAGAGACTGAAAATAGTAGCAAAATGAACCAAAAGAAATTTTAGAAGAAAATCATGAAGATCACAATATAGCATGTCAGGCAAACTCAAGATGACCCCCAATTACCATTTTTTCCTGGTGTTAATTCCCTTGCATACTTCTCTTTCACATAAAATATAGCAAATGTATATGTAATCAAAAGGATATGCTAGAAATGATAATATGTGACTGCTGAATGTAGGTTATATAAAAATATTGCCACTTGCTTTGCTCCTAGAACCCAACATCATGATTAAAGTTTCCTATTCTTTTTAAGATGTTGAGTCCTGGAAAAATTTGTTATAATAATTAGTCAACCAATAAAACAGAAAACCAATAAATAATGTAGAGATTCAACTCAAGTTAAAAGTTTATTTATTTAAAAGATTAATTTAAAAAATCAATTACATAACTGGTGAGAATTATCATCAAAGGATAGTTTAATGATTAAATCTCAGATATTAAAAATAAAACATACATACCGTACACATAAAGGGATAAAAAAGAAAAGTTGATAAACCAATGCATACCATAAAATTTGAACAGTTTCTGAAAACAAACTGGAAAGCAAAATTAAGTCTAGACTCACAAATAGAACAAAAATACAGTGCCCTAAAAATATATATATATATATTTAGCTTTTCTTTTACAGTCATCAGGAAAAGATACTAATGTATAGTTTTCCTTGATAGAGTTATTCAGAGGCCCCAAATGCAGAGATAGAAGGCACACTCACTCAGACAGGGCTATTGAGGGAATGGCTTTAGGGGATTATTGACACAGAAGTGGGAAGGTTAGGAAAACTAATGGGACACAGAACAACTCTCTAGACCTAGCATTTGGGTAGGAACAAATGGGAGAGAAGCTCAGTAATTATTAGAACCATAAGAGAACGGCTGAAGTGGAGACTTTGCCAATAGGTGCAGCAATAATTGGTAGGCCTCTATAACTCAACAAAGAGAGACCAGAAAAGATAAATATCTTTTTTAAGAGGGTGTGTGTAGGTGAGAGTTTGGGCCACAAAAATAGATGCTCAGGGTTTATTTGTGACTCTGTGATCAGTAATCATACCAGCAGTGCTCTGGGCACCGTATGTGGTGCTGGGAATTCAACCATGTTGGGCTGTGTACAGATAAGTATCTTAATCCCTGAATTAAGAGATAAATATCTCTTTTTGTGTTTTTTGGGAGGTGGGGCATACCTGGAAATGCTGAGGGGTTACTCCTGGCTCTTCCTCAGGAATTATTCCTGATGGTGCTCGGGGGACCAAATGGGATGCCAGTGATGTAACCAGATAGCCATGTGCAAGGTCAGAGACTTACCTCCTATACTATCTCTCTGGCCCCCAGGATAAATATCTTGACTGAACTCTTACTCTCTGGTGGCCAGAATATAAGGGAGAAATTAATATTAATGTTCTCATAAAGCCTTCAGAAATAGAGCAATGGGGAACTGTGTGTGTAAATTGAATCTCAAGAAGCAAATGGTTTCATCATGTTGCAGAGCCAGTGTCTAAGAGACTTTAATTATTTGTTACATGGAAGGAAGGTATGTCACCAACCTTCCTGTCTTTCATCAAACTGGAAGGAGAAAAAGGGTAGTAGATATCAAGTATAGATGCCCAGTTTCTTAAGACCACAGTGCAAAATGGTAGTAATCACTTCTGCTCCCTTGGTAAAGCAGTAAAGATTAATCATGTGGCATTACATAACTAATTGCAAGGAGAAATGGATGTTGTTCTTTGCCTGGAGAGACATGTGTTCCAGGAGAAGGAAAAATAAATTCTAGTTAAGGATTGCCAGTCTATGTCAAAATCTGCATTTTGGCTGCTAAACACTCGTTTTTACATATTGACTCCCTCAATAAGGTATAGAATCTAAAGTTGAATTCATTTCTGTATAGGGTCAAAGCATAACTCTGATCTCCACATGTGGCAAACTAGAAATTGAAATTATTTGTCCCCTCCTCATACAAATTACAATAACCACATGAGTAATAGTTAAAAAAAAAAAGAAAGAACACTCCTAAATTTAAAACAAGGAAAAATGGAATACAATCTACAGTCACTGGTGCATAGTAATAAGATTATTCCACCAGCAGGAAATTGAGAAATTTCTTTTTCTTGGCTCCCAATACTTTCCCATGTCTTATAATGATTCCAAACTTTGCTGTTTACTATATCTGTAGGTCACATGTGATGTGAGTACCAAAAAGGCTATACAATTTTAGTAGCCTGCTTCCTATATATGTAAGTTAGAGTTTGATGATATTTGCAGGACAAGTTTTTGGTTGATTTCAAATGCAATATCGTAGAAATCAGATAGGCTTTTGGGTTTGTTTGTGTATAGTCAATGTCATGTGCCAATGAAACTAGCACTGTAGCACTGTCTTCCCATTGTTCATCGATTTTGCTCAGGCGGGCACCAGTAACGTCTCCATTGTGAGACTTGTTGCTACTGTTTTTTTGGCATATAGAATATGTCATGGAGAGCTTGCCAAGCTCTGCTCTGTGGGTGGGATACTCACGGTAGCTTGCTGAGCTCTCCGAGAGAGCCGGAGGAATTGAACCCGGGTTGGCCGTGTGCAAGGCAAATGCCCTACGAGCTGTGCTATCACTCCAGTCAATAACGATACCGAGATTTTTTTTTCAGACCATAGTTTTTAATCCTACTTTACTTCCTGATTTCCATTTTCACCCATTTCTGCCTGTGTCCCCTATCCACTCATTACATTTAAATGCCCTTTCCTTCCAGGTCATCTGAGTGAATGGGAAGAGAATTGAATACCATTAATGCAATTAATTCATAGGACAATATCCCTTGGCTTTCCTAATTGAGAAGCATTTGAAATGATTTAAGGATTGTAGTAATATTTCCTTTATTTACAGGGGCATATAAACAAATTTCTGCATTCTCTTTAACATTCTGTTTTACACTTGCAAGTTCTCACCTGATCAAATAATTTGTCCATTACTAAAAGCATTAAAGAATAACTGACACACACCAACATTTTGCTTGCTTTCTAGGTAAGTGACCGGACTTTCAAGTAAGAAATGGTTTTATTAACATATTTTTGTGCAATGACATTACAAGAACATCCAGATTTGCAGTTTATGTTTCCTTGATCCTAGTCTAACCACATATTTCAGGTTATTTTCTATGTTCAAATTACCACAGTACCAATATTAAGATCTTGTAACAAGATAGTCACAAAATTTATGTACATTTAAGGATATAAAAATTGAGTAAAGCTAGTATGCAAAGTAGGTAAATATACAGATTGAAGTTCAATTTTGATGTCACTCACAAACTTTGTAGTGTTGACCTTTATAAAGTGTTAGTTTTTTTTTTCTTGGCTTTTTGGGTCACATTCGGTGATACTCAGAGGTTACTCCTGGCTCTGCACTCAGGAATGACTCCTGGCGGTGCTCATAGGACCATATTGGATGCTGGGGATTGAACCTAGGTTGGCTGCATACAAGGCAAACACCCTCTCCACTGTGCTATCACTCCAGTCCAGCTTCAGATTTCTTATGTTTAAATTGAGTAATAGTTCTAACTGCATTCTTGCCCCTTTGGGACTCCAGTGATTCTTATGTTACTCCTCAATTCTTCCCAAATTCTTCTCAATTCAATTCTTCTCTTGTCATTTGCTGATTCATTTTGAGGCTTTCCTCATCTTATGTTGTTGTTTGGAGATTTTCTTCACCTCACCAGAGAAGGGACCACTATGACAACGATAGTTGGAAATGATCACTGTGGATGAAAACTGAGTGCTGAAAGGAGGTCAAGTGACATGCAGGATACACTTTCAGTAACAGTATTGCACACCACAGTGCCTGAAAGAAAAATAAGAGAGAGGGAGGAAGAGAGAGAAGAAAAGTGTCTGTCATAGAGGCAGGCTAGAGGTAAGTGGGTGGGAAAAAAACTGGGCTTATTGGAGGCAGGAAATGTGCGCTGGTAAAGAATGGTTGTATAACGGGCACTCAATCATAAACAACTCTGTAATTATATCTCACAGTGATTCAATAACATTGTTTTTTAAAAAAATGAAATATAGTAATGACAACCCAGAGAGCTAAATATTTTTAGTGTATATGAAAGTTAGGATAGTGTTGTGCAGGGTTAAAGAGAGAGTTCAACATGCTGAGTACTTACTTTGCACATGGGAGGCCCAGATTTGATACCTAGAACTTCATGGTCAACTGAGCACTGTAGGAAGTGACCCCTGAACAAAGAGCCAGGAGTAGTCCCCAAGCATCACTAAGTGTGCTTTCCCCTAAATTAAGGAACTGTGGTATTACTTGCTATCGTTATATAAAAGTATTGACTTATTTTTTAAAATTATAATAATTTCCACATAAACTTTCCAGATCAGTGTGAAAATTTTAATATTTTGGTACATCAGATATTTATGGGCTTTCATGTAGTTTCCTTGCATTTTGTGTAGCATTGTCATTAATTTCATGATCATCATCATACTGTAATGCATCATATTGTATTCCATTCTGAGTAAAGGGGAAAGCAATTTAAGATACATTAGGTGTCTTCTGGCCCAACTTTGAAATTCACTTGATCACTTGACATCCCGTTATTCATCAATTTGCTGGAGCGGTCGCCAGTAAAGTCTCCATTCGTCCCTGTTGCGTGCTAGTGTAGCCCAATTGCATCTGATAGTTCCAGGAACATGAAAAGTCTCAAACCAATTGTTCAGGGTCTTGACGAAGAAGTCTGACCATCTCGTAGGTGGGCGGTCACGCGATCTTTTGATGTTTCGTAGAATCCAGTCGGTAACGGCTCTAGTTCAGTGGTCATCTCCAAATCGCATTACGTGTCCAGCCCATCTGACTTTCAACTCCTTGGCAAATAAGACAGGGTCCCTGATTCTCGATCGTCGACGGAGGTCGGAACTCTGGATTCCTTCTCTCACTTGAGTGAAGCATGATACTCTAGGCATAGCTCTTTCGATTCCTCTTTGGGAGACCCGAATAGTGTTCTCATCCTGTTTTCGTAGGGCCGAGGTCTCTGAGGCATATGTTAATGCAGGAAGAACAGTGGAGTTGAAGAGATGTACCCGGAACTGGAGGTTCTTCGTCCTCTTATCTATTTCTTCGACAAACTTTGAAATTACACTGAAGTTTTAAAATAAAAGGATAGTAATATAAGACTGAATTAATTTTTATAAGAGTATGGTTATGTCTAGTTGAAGGGGACCTGGAAAATTAGGTTAGCTGGACAATCCTGTTCCTAGAGAGGAGAGCTTTGGCTATAGAATTAATATCTTCTATCACCGATCCTTAAATTCACTTAAGAAAAAGTTAGAAATCATTAT